TTTATGGTTACTTACTCGGAATTAAATTGGAGGAAGAACAAGTTAAACAAGCAATGATTGCCTGGGGGAGGAATTTTGGACATGGGATAGATTTAGATAAATGACAAAAACTATGGTCTCGAAATTATAAATTGACAATGTCGGTAGCATATAAAGAGAATTTGTATAGGATGCTTTACAGGTGGCACTTACCCCCAGCACGAATAGGAAGGATGTCCAAAAACAAATCAGAGAGATGTTGGAAGTATCATCAGATACCTGGATCATATTATCATATGTGGTGGACGTGTGTGGAAGCAAAGAGTTACTGGACTAAGATTCATACATGGCTTGAAGAAATGATAAAACAGCATATAGACTTGAAACCAGATATATTTTTATTGGGTATCTTGTCTGAAGGATACAATAGAGAATTGACGTATTTGATTATAAATGTGTTAACAGCGGCTAGAATTGTATTTGCTAGAAATTGGAAGAGTGAAGAAATTCCAATAGAGGAAGAAGTGATTAAGAAAATGATGGAATGTGCAGAAATGAGTAAATTGACATTAGCAATCAGAGAGCAAGAAGATAAAGAATGTTATAAAATTTGGGATTTATTTTATCAATGGCTAGACAAGAAAATAGAGAAGTAAACTATGTTATGGAAAGGAATAGTATAATATGTAAGATAATATGATGCAATTATGTTATATAATTGAACATAAGGAACTGAATTGTATGATCCCAGGTTTGTTAAAATAGAGATTTGCTCGATGAGAAATATATACATTTTTAGTTGGGTCTAATAATGATGCAATAATAACACAACATAATATAATATGTATAGTTGACTTATGTAATATGAATGTATGTTTGGAAGGGTAAGACTGTTGATATTGTGACATTGCACGAAAGAAATATACCAACCTGTATTTTGGAAGATGGTTTTATGTTGATGTTTTATGTTTATGTTTGTTAGTGTTTGTCTTTGAAAAAAATAAAAAACTTTATAAAAAAAAGAATAAGGATAAAGTTCGGGACAAACCTGGAATTATTGAAGTAGATTGTTAGGAGAGGTTAGGTTTCTTTTTTTTTCTTTTAGTATTAATTTTTAAAAATTAATTACATATCTTAGTGCTTAATAAACATCGTATTGCCTGGATATTTAAATTGCTTAACAATACATATCCCATTCTTAATCACCACCCCTATTTTCTAACCACTGATCAAATAGATTCCACGTTTGATAATATTCTGCTTCTTCTTCCTGTTTCATAGTCTTCTGAGCATGGAGCTCAAAGCAAGAATTTGGGGTTGGCGTCAGAATTGCATTTATCCTAATTTTGCCCGCTGTTTTCTCTTCCTCTACCCTTCATCTCCTAAATGCTCCAGTTTTGAGAGACTGGTATATCTTCTGAAATCTTACCTTATCTGCTAAAACTGCACTACAAAGTCCTCAACTAACAACTGTAATTGAGCCCCAAGTGTTGCAATATTGTTAAGTTAGTCAGATGCAGGGGTGGGATTCAAAAATCCCAGCAACCGGTTCGCTGCCCAGTTGCTGGGTGGGCGTGGCCATGGTCAGTGTGGCCTACCGGAAATTCTGGGAGAGCTGTTTTTGTGCCTTCCCCAGGGTCTGGGGGCTTCCCTTGAACCTCTGGGAGGGCGAAAACAGCCACCCCTGGGATCTGGACGCCTTCTGGAAGCCGGAAACAAGCCTGCTTCTGGACTTCCGGAAGGCCTGTTTTTCCTCCTCCCAGAGCCTCCACGCAGACCCTGCACCGAAAATGGGCCGTGTGGAGACTCCTGGGAGGGGTGGGGTTGGATGGGCGGGGCCAGCCAGTAAGTTCAAATACCAGTTCAGCAAACCAGATGCAAATTTAACATGAACCGGCCCAAACCGGCTGAATCCCACCTCTGCGTTTATCCTAATTTTGCCCACTGTTTTCTCTTTCCTTCTATCCTTCATCTCCCAAATGCTCCAGTTTCGAGAGTCTGGTATATCTTCTGAAATCTTACATCTGTTAAAATTGCACTACAAAGTCCTCAACTAACAACTGCAATTGAGCCCCAAATGTTGCAGTTGTTAAGTTGGTCGTACGGTTGTTAAGTGAATCTGGCTTCCCTGTTGACTTTGCTTGTCAGAAGGTTGCAAAAGGAGATCCCATGACCTCAGGATACAGCAACGGTCATAAATGTGAACCAGTTGCCAAGTGTTTGAATTTTGATTACGTGACCATGGCGAGGCTGCAACGGTCATTAGTGTGAAACACCGTCATAAGCAGGGATGGGATTCAACCGATATTACTACCAGTTCGGTGACTACATTTTGTGTGTGCATGTGAAAGAGAAAGAAAGAGAGAGAGGGTGGAGGGAAAGAGAGGGGAAAGAGAGAGAGAGAAAGAGGGAAAGAGAAAGAGAGAGAGAGCAGGGGGAAGAGAGGGGGAAGAGAGAGAGAGAAATAGAGGGAGAGGGAAAGAGAAAGAGAGAGAGAGGGTGGGGGAAGAGAGAGGCAGGAAAGAGAGAGAAAGTGGGGAAAGAGAGAAAGAGAGAGAGAGGGAAAGAAAGAGAGAGGATGGAGGGAAATAGAGAGAAAGAGGGGGGGAAAGAAAGAAAGAGGGCGGAAGGAACGAGAGAGGGGGAAGAGAGAAAGAGCGGGAAAGGGAAAGAGAGAGAGAGAAACGGAGTGAGAAAGAGGGAAAGAGAAAGAGAGAGGGTGGAAAGAAAGGGGGGAAAGAAAGAGGGAGAAAGCGAGAAGGGGGAAAGAGAGAGAGAAAGAGGGGGAGAGAGAAAGAGAGAGAAAGAGAGAGAGGGTGGAGGGGAAAAGAAGGGGGAAAAAGAGAGGGAGAGAAAGAGAAGGGGAGAGAAAGAGAGGGCCAATCACCAGGAGATGGCAAATTCTAGTTCTCCCTTAGGCATGAAATTGACTGGGTGATTTTGGGCCAATCACCAGAAGATCGCAAGTTCTAGTCCCTCTGTGGGCATGAAAGCCAATTAGGTGACTTTGGACCAATCACCAGGAGACGGTGAGTTCTAGGGCCGCCTTAGGCATGAAAGCTGACTGGGTGATTTTGGCCCAATCTCCAGGAGATGGCGAGTTCTAGTTCTCCCTTAGGCATGAAAGCTAACTGGGTGACTATAGGCCAATCACCAGGTCCTAGAGAATTCTAGTCCCACTTTAGGCAGGACAGGAAGTTGGGTGCCTTTGAGCCAGTCAATCTCTCTCAATCCAGCCCAACTCACAGGGGAGTTATTGGGGGGGGGGGGCACAAAGAATATTAGTTATGTACACCACCCTGAGTTATTTATAAATAGAATAAAAACGGGAAAGAAATAACTAATTAAATAAATTTGCAAGCCACTTGTTCAGCCAAGATCTGCTGCCTTTCTGGAACATTGTTTGCAACACACATCCAATTCTTCACATTCAGCTGATGTGGATATGATAACTCCTGCTCCATCATTAAAGTTACACAAAGGGTATTTCCTTTTGATCTCTAACTCTAACCCCTGAGGACGTCAGTGCTTCAGGCCATTCGGGGGCTGCAAAAGGCTACCAAGACGCTTTTAAAAGGTTTATGTAAACTTATGAAGAAGGATATTTTTATGTTTTTTGTGTTATGTTTATGTTAATGTTGTTATGTATGCTTATGTTTGTTATTAAAAAATAAAAAAAAATTTATCCAAAAAAAAAAAGGTTTTTTAAAAAAAAAACAGATGGAGGGGAGGAAATGGAGGAATAAGAATTGGATTTGAGTGACAAAAGTCATGGATAACTAAGAAAGGGGGAGACCCCTGCATTCCTCAAGGTTGACTCAGCCTTCTGTCCTTCTGAGGTTGGTAAAATGAGGACCCATATTGTTGGGGGCAACATGCTGACTCTGTAAACTGCTTATAGAGGACTGTAAAGCACTGTGAAGAGGTATATAAGTCTAAGTGTTATGTCCTTCCTTCCTTCCTTCCTTCCCTTTCTTTCCCTTTCACCTTCCTGGTGGCACAATGGTGAGAATACCGTATGGCAGGCTGACTCTGCCCACTGCCAGCAGTTCAATCCTGACCAGCTCAAGGTTGACTCAGCCTTCCATCCTTCTGAGGTTGGTAAAACGAGGACCCAGATTGTTGGGGGCAATAGGCTGACTCTGTAAACTGCTTTGAGAGGGCAGTAAAGTACTGTGAAGCGGTATATAAGTCTTTTTAATTTTTTTAGTATATTTTTTTTAATTCATGTACATTTTGAATACAGTGTGTTGTCAGGGCATATCATTTACTTAAATGACAAAGAAAGAACAAACAGGAGTAATAATACATAGACCAGTAATAATAGTGATAATATAAGAATAATTTTAACTAGTTTTCTCTTTATATTAGCTTATTTGTAATTCTGTTGATTATATTAGCATATTCATAATAGTAAACCATCTTTATATTTAATTCTTACACAGCATTAATCTTTCTTCATCTCATTTCTATCTCTTGTCTCTAACCCCTCGTAAAATCTATTCCATGTTAAATAATATTCCGTGTTCTTCTTTATCCTTTATTGTTAATGTCAGTCTATCCATCCCTGCACAGTCCAATATTTTTCGAATTAATCTAATCTAATCATCTAATGGAGTGTCTAAAGCGGTATATAAGTCCAAGTTGCTATTGCTCTCCTGCCTTCCTTCCTTTTTTAAAACAACCTGACAAAGTTTGATCAGTGCCTCCAAAAAGCTTATTTGGGAAAGTGCCTCCCCTTCCACTTCTTCCTGAGATCCGAGGGCGCTCCTAAAATATTGTCTCTGCTAAAAAAGAAAGAAAGAAAGAAAGAAAGAAGGGCGGGGGGGGGGGGAACGAAGGGTGTCTCTTCCTTTCTCCCGCCCCCCTTCCACCCATTCCCCTCCCCCCCCCGGCTGTCCTGTATAAAGCCAGGGCCGAAGGACCAGGGCGCCCAGCATCAGCCAGTGGCCAGCAAAGGAGAAGAAGGACCAAAATCGCCTCTCGGCTCCTGCAACTTCCAAGCCAAGCGAGCAACCACGATGCGCCCCGTCCCGGCTCCAGGCTTTCTCCGCGCCTTCAGGTTCCTGCTGCCTCTGGCCGCCTGGGGCTTGGGGGGTCCCGCCGTCGCTTCCCCCATCTGGAGCAACGCCGACGAACTGGTGCACCTCTACACCTCCGGCTCCAGGAGGAGCTTCCACCTGCAGATCCATCCCGACGGACGCGTGGATGGCAGCCCGTCCCAGACCGTGCATAGTAAGTGCCCGGGCGGAGCTGCGAGGCTGGCTGATGCGGGAGGGATGGAAGGGGTGGGGAGCCTGTCCAGGAGCGTCCCGGAGGCTCCAGAGTGTTAGGAATTCAATAACGGAGTTGGAGGGGTCCTTGGAGGTCTTCTAGTCCACCCCCCTCTGCTCAAGCAGTAATCGAGTGGCAGTGAGAACGATCAACAGAGTATAGTAAGTGCCCAGGCGGAGCTGCGAGGCTGGCTGATGCGGGAGGGATGGGAGAGACGGGGAGCCTGTCCAGGATCATCCCGGAGGCTCCAGAGTGTTAGGAATTCAATAACGGAGTTGAAGAATCCTTGAAGGTCTTCTACTGGCAGAACTTGAACTCAGTTTCCCACTTTCTTTCTTTTTTAAATATCCTTTATTCATCGTTTATCATTTTAAAAAGCCAAACAACAACAAAATAGAACTTATATCAACAGTTTGTGACCTTTGTCTTATCCTAATATGTTGTGCATTATTTACAAATATACAAAATTGTGCCAATATAAATCATTAACTTATCTAGTACTTATCTCTATTTATTTACAATCCATTTATCTATCTACCAATCTTCTTTGCTCAATCCAATCATACCATTTTTCCCACACCTTTGTAGTAATCAGATTCCTCTCTCTCCTATGGATTCAAGGTTAATTTGTCCATCTCAGCACAACTCATTATTTTTTGAACGGTCAATTCCTCTGGTGGCATACATGGGTGTTTCCAACATTGGGCATAGCAATCGTGGCTGCAGTTAAAATGTGCAATATTAAATATTTTAAATTTCTCTCATATTTCTTTTTACAGTTTCCCACTTTCTAATCTGGTGCTTTAGCCAGATTAAATTAAGGTCCTCTTTATCCAAGTTTATTTTTAAGTATGGATAGATAAATAATAATAATTAGAGAAAAGTGGACCTCTATGCTAGTAAAACTCTTTGGGTCTGAAACTTTGTAACTAAACTAAAATGATGCGTGGTAGGGCAAAATGTTTTGCAGCAAGATGCCTCCAATAGTAACTTAAAGAATGCATCCAAAATCCAGAACATTTACTCCCATGGAATTAAAATTTTGAAAATCTCTTCAAACATTTTGCGATCTAAAAATTATTATAAATTACCATGATGCACAATGCATTTCCTGCGCTCAGCTCCTGAGGTTTGTCTGCATCATGCAGTTCAGTCTGGGCTATTTTCAAGCCAGGTGCCTTGACTGAGACATATCTGAATATCTTCCTGAATTTTTAAGAGCTTTTCAAACACACTAGAAGCTCTGCTGTTCTTGAAGGCATGGAGGAAATTGGCAAGGAAATATCTCCGAAATTATGACCCAATCAATCACAGATTGAATAGAATAGAATAGAATAGAATAGAATAGAATAGAATAGAATAGA